TATGTGTGTATAATGTATATAATGTATATTATAATATGTGTAGTATTATAATTATTACAATTCGATATTATATAACATATATAAGTTATAATAATTATAACTTATATAATTATAATCCGAAAGATAATTATGATATTGTTGTATAATAATTATGTAAATGATATAACAATACATGTTACATAGAATTGTATAATAATATTATATATGTGTACACTGTTGCAATTTGTAATATTAATATTATTCTCTGGCTTAACCCTTGGATTACTTCTGCTTGACAGTCTTCTGATTAAAGATGATTCTGTAAACAGATATAGAGAAATTAACTCATTAATTGTAATCAATTTTAGCGTTTATTCAAATTTATCCTTAAATGTTTCAGAAGAAATCCAGGGTTAAACGCAGATCGCAATAGATTTCTAGTGAGGATTTAGAGAATACAACATGTCATCGAGTGTAAATTAATTATTAAGTTGAAAGAAATATACAATTGTTACATTTTCAAGATAAAATAATGGTCTCTTCTTTTGCGTGCAACTCGCTTACCATTATTTTCTACGAATGATGCGATTGATCGAACGACGATGCGGGGTGAGGAATAAGTATAAATATGAGTTATTGAATCGAGACAGAGAGAAAGAGATGAAAATGTTTCGGGAAGGAGTTGCGCTTGATTTCTAATAGGAAACTGCACATGATTGTTACTTTCATTTGCCTAACAAATCGATATTAGACGCGCGCGTGTGGCTGACTCGATCATCAGGGTATAATCAAGATTTAATATTATAACAGAAGAGCAATTACCACACATCGGAATTCCGCAAATAAACTCTCCAATTAGAAAACAAGCATTGAGAGCACTCTCGATTAAATGCACACACTATTTATTTAGAGAATGTATAATTGTATTTAAAGGGATGCTGGAATTACCCTAACGGAACGAATATTCGTACTTTTCATTTCGTTTTTCTTATATTAATAATTATGTAGAATAAAAAAATCCTTCCCTAATATAAAAGAAAATTTTCGAATAACAATACAAAGAAAAGAACAATACAATAAACATAATAATTTTATAGAAAGAATCTATCCATGAAAAATTATAAAATTTATAAAAATTATAAAAATTATAAAAATTATAAAAATTAATAAAAATTATAAAAATTAAAAAATCGGACTAATTATTCATTTATTAGTGGACTAGGCCTATTGGGGATACCACTTAAAAAAAAAACGCGTCAACAATAGTACCCCTAGGGTGACGAGGAAATCTATTGAAAACCAATGTCTACGAACGTTATACGCGTAGCCCATTTCGACTGTATGTAAGACAATAAGATAAAAAAAATAGTGGTAGCAGAAGTTAAATCGATAATCGATCAAAAAAGACCTAACTTACTAAATACTATTATTATTAAAATATTAACAAAGAAACAGTTAATTTAATATTTAAAATGATCTTTGCAGTTTTTTGTTAAATACACCTTTTTATGTTATTCTTCAGATGTCTTATTACTATCATTATTATTTTGATTATAAAATAATTTGTTTTGTTCTCTTCTTTTGAATTAATCAAATTAAATTCTAAAATATATCTTCGTGTTTATTTTCACGAAATTTAAAAATACTGAAATTTCTTTCTCTAATAGCTATTAAAGAAGCTTATTACAATATAATAACTGTGTTCTAAAATTCATCATTGAAAAAATCGTATTCGAAATAATAATTAATAAATAAAATAAATGAAAGATATGAAAGGCGCGTGCGTAGCGTGCTAGTAAAAGGAAAAACGCAAATAGTAGGAAAGTACAAACTGTACTTGTACTAAAAAAAATGAAGTAAAAAATAGTAATAAATATAGTTTCTTAGTATACTACATAGATTACCTATTCATTACCAAAATAGCAATCTTTTTATCTGAACCGAAATACAACTTTTCTATTTCGATTGTCATTTTGAAGTGGCCTATAGATCAATAAGCGTTTAGTATTATTGATATAGGAGGTATACTTGATAAGTCGAAAATGGAGGACTTTTGCGCTACTTCAGTATATCTAGAGCTTTAATATATATATA